CCTGTTACAGCATACCAAATGGCCGAAAATTCTTAACATCGGACAATAACCACCCCACATTCCATATAACGGTAATTTCGAGAAATACGAAATCCTCGATAAAGCAGTAAATATTAAAGCTAATTTATTCAAAATTGATGGTTGCAACAATTCTTTACCAGGAAATACGCTTATGATAAAATTTTTGGAAAATGGGTGTGGCACCGCCCACTTATGATCATATATATGTATCTCGCTAACCGTTCTAGCAATTTGTACCAAACTCGGTATGGTTATTGTGCTTGCCACATAAAAGCAAACCATTGAAAATTGTTGAAATCGGACTAAAATTACGGCCGCTTTTCATATAACGGTAAATTTCAGAAATGCTTGAAATTTAAATATTTCGAAATTTAAGGACGCTAGTTTACTTAAAATTTATACACCCCGGCTTATCATGTAGCGCTAGCTTTCGGAAAGGTGGAAAACATATATTTAATACTTGCGCCGGGTATTTAATGTTCGGCTCCGCCCGAACTTAGACTTTCTTACTTGTTGTAAATTGTTTTTTGTTCTTCTGGCGGTCATTTACTCAGACATAATTCAGTTACTTGCTATGTATATGTGGGCTCCGGAAATCCTTTTTAAATGGCGATCTTAAGCTTTCCGCTAAAGTGGTGCGGAACTGTTGCAATGGCGTCCTAGCTTTTTCCTGGCGGGAGTTGCTTCTTGTGGCACTTATTTAATGTTGCACTTTTTAGGTTCGCTTTTGTAGGTTTCTATTAACACTTTCCAATTGCAGATTTGAATTTCTTATCTACATTTTTTCCACTTCTTTGTTCGTACCGTATTTGAGCAGGTATACTGCTAGCACCAAGAAAATTGTGGTACGCTTAGTGCTTTTCAGCCACTTCAAGTCACTTTGCCTTTTATTAATTTATTATGATTTGTGCAGGTATACTGCTATCACACATTTAGTACGTTTCAAAGAGGTATGTATTTGATTTTCCGATCTTCCTCACTTTTTTTCACACTTCAAGGCTTAATAAATTTTGAGTTTGTTTTCACTTTTAGAAGTATGTACTTGCCCTAACCACTATTACTTCATACACTTGGACATTTTTGTACACCGCTATTTTTATAGATTTTTCATAAGTAGGCTATGGATCTTTTTATAAGCTAATTATGTTTTCTTAGATAGCTCGATTTATCAGTTTTAGAACAAACTAAGAAAAATTAAATTTTTCTACGTATAAAAGAAATATCATCTTATTTCGAAAAGACTTGTTAATATTAAGAAAACAAAGGCGACCACTTTTGCTTCATACAGTAAGCTTTGTAAGGGGTATCGTTAAAAAATTCAATTTTATAGCACGCCGTGACCTTGTAATCAGTTTGTGCATTATTGGCGAGCAGTTTGTTCAGTTTTGAATTTCATAATGGCACGCGGAAAAGCCCTTTGCAAAGAAATTCGTGAATTTATTATTGATAAATACAAATTTAAGAAAAGTTATCGCGAAATTGCAAGAGAAGTTAATGTTCCAACTCCTACGGTGCAAAGTATAATTAGAAATTATAACGAAACTGGACAGATTTTGCCCAAAGAGCACGTGGGAGGTCGAAAATCAGTGATTTCCGACCGCGATATTCGGCAATTAAGCAACATTATTAAACAAAATAGGCGGAGTTCTGTAAGAAACTTGGCTGCTGCATGGTCACAGAAGATTGGTAAACATGTAGGACGTGAGTGGACCCGGTTGCAGCTGCATAAGTTGAAATATAATTTTTATAAGGTAGGGTTTCGAGTGTGATGCATTTCAGAATCCTACCAAATTTATGTTGCAATTAACAGGCAAAGAGGAAACCGTTACTAACAGTCCGTCAAAAGCAAAAAAGATTAGCTTGGAGTAAAGCTAGACGATTGTGGGTCCAAAGACAATGGGACTCCGTCATATTTAGCGACGAATCTAAGTTCCATGTTTGCGTAGGCGACTCAAGGACTCGTGTAATACGAAAGAGAAATGAAGCATATCATACAGACTGTTTGAGAAGGGCGGTAAAGTTCCCAGCGAGTGTCATGGTATGGGGTTGTATGTCCTCAAAAGGAGTAGGAAAGCTTCATTTTATCGATGGGACTATAAAAGCCATGGATTACGTCAATATTTTGGAGACAAATTTGCTTCCTAGTATACCCTCCGCCTCATACCGCTAAATTGACCAAAAACTGGTTTCTCAGTAACAATATACCTGTTTTAGACTGGTCTGCTTCCAGTCCGGACCTTAATTCTATTGAGTCTCTATGGGCGCTATTGAAGAGAAGACTTCGAAATGACCCCCAGAGGACTATTGATGGCTTCAAGGCAAAAATTAGTGAAATCTGGGATTCTATAACTCCAACTGAATGTGTATCACTAACTAAAACTATGCATCTTAGACTGAATGCCGTAATAAATACAAAGGGGGACGTTACACAGTATTAAAGTTCAGTTACGTTGACTGTATGAAGTAATAGTGGTCGCTTTAATTTTCTTAATATTAATAGTTCCTTTTGAAATAAATGAACATTTCCTTTATGTATCAAAAAATTATTTTTTTCTTTTTTTAATATAAAAGCTAGTCTATTAAGCTCTTCAAAAAGTAGCATTCGCTTATAAAAAAATTCACCACCTACTTGCGAAAAATCGTTGAAAGTGGAAGCGTAAAAAAATGTGTAAGTGTATGAAGTAATAGTGGTTAGGGCAAGTATGTATATATTTTCCCGAATAAAAACAGCTTCGGTTTGAAATTTCGAGACGGGCTTAAAAACTCCGCGCATGCTTAAGACTCGCACGTACGCGCACGTTCGTTTCGGCTACTACTGCCTGCCTTAATTGCCAACCAACGCTTTAGTGATAGCTAATTCCTTCTGATGGCTCCGTCGCCGTTGCTCAAAGAAGGCTGCCACATCTGTCACTCCGAAAAGGAAATTAGGTCCATGTCTTCAACAATAAGTAAAATAGCCTTTTTTATTAATTTTAAACTACAGTTTAGTTAGAAAATTTAGGTGAAACTTATTTTTTACGACAGTTATACTTGTAATATCTGACCTTCTTTCGTATTATTCTTAATGCTATAAAAAACATGGCTCACATTATAACACAACACTTTCATTATATTTTAATCATTAACGTTGAGCGTCTTGCAAAACATTTTGTTAAACAAAAACGCTTAAAATTAACGATAAATACAAAATAAAAGTGTTGTGTTATAATTCGTAATATGTTTTTTACACTACAGTGTGGAGAATCAAAGCAATCGCACATTCGACGAAACAAGCGCAGATTTTACGTAAATAATTTCGTTAAACATGCGAATTATTTTTGTGCATTTTACAAAAATTTCGTAAAAAACTAAGAAATAGTACGAAATTCTTTAGTAAATAGTACTAAAGATCTGATGTCTCACATTTTCGTAGTATGTACGAAAACGGTTTTGTATAATCAACGAAAACTTTCGTGGCTCAAAATGACGAAAAATTTCGTAAGATGTACGCAAGTTTTCGTTATATTTACGCAGATTTTATTTTCAGTGTAAGTACCACAATGGAGCACATGAGCCCTTCGCGAGGCAATAACATTGGTGTATCACACTTTAAAATCCGACTGTAAATGCCGAAGATATGAAGAAAAATGTAAATGGGCGACTACTAGGGTTGTCCAAAACAAAATTATTGTTTTGTAAATGCTTTTGAAAAACACATCATATGAGGGAATGTACGGCGAACTTTTAATTGTTTTGCCTTTTTTAGGCGAGACGCCCTAATGGGCAGCTAAGCAAAATATATTAGGGGTATTCTCCAAATCTTGCAAAGCCATTGCACGTAGCACGGATTGCATAACTTGCAAACGCACAACAACAAAATACATGGGAAACAACATTTCCTATCGCTGCTAAATATGCAACGTCGAAACCCATGTATATATTTTGCAAAATAGCACAGCAAGATAAGTACGACCCTGTGCTAGTTGTTTTGTTGTTGGAATTGCTACATATTTCTCTCATTCCTCTCATCCCGCTCACTTTATTTATTTTTTGCTGTGTCTTGTTATTGTATTTGATACATAATTTCGCTGCTTGCTACCCATGCATGCTACCACTTTGCAAAGGGGTGTTCTGGTACACTTCCAAATTTGGAATAGAATTTTTGCATTTCGTGCAATCCGTGCATCGTGCAAGACTTCGAGAAT